TTATTGATCTATCTATATCTATCTATCTATCTATCTATCTATCTATCTATCTATCTATCCATCTATCTATCTATCTCACCAGCAAGATTTTGACTATGGTTTTTCAAAGTCTTCAAGTCATGTAGGCTTCAAGTTTCTTAGGCAGAACTTTAAATTCTGTCCAGAAACCAAATGACGGCCACTGAAATTGTGTCAGTAAGTTAGTATGGAGGTATGAATTATGCTTATGAGAAATTTAAGGTGAGCTTCTAAGATACAATACCTGGTAGCAATCAAATAAATTCAAAGAAATATACTGTCAGAAACATATGAAAAGCCACAGCTGGCCCCATCAGTAGCCCTATCTGATATTTCAGAAGCTATTCTGTAGCTTGAAACCATACAGAATGATGGCCAAATATTTGTCTGTGTTATACTGTGCTGCATAATGAGAAATTTGCTTTTTTCATGTTTATTTTCCATCTAAACAAAGCAACAGAAAATGTCTCTCCTCTGCCTACATTGAAAGGATGAAGGTTACCACGGATCAGTGATTCTAATCTTTCCAAAACAAACCTGCCAATAGAATATTTCCCATTGCAATTTGAATCCCTCAGTTCTCTCCAGAACTGAGCCAAAATTTACCTCAAATACACGTTCTTGGCTAATTTCACAGCGTTCTTTTCCCTTTGCCACTTCTTACCCTAAAAAAGAATGCCTTTGAGCAGAGATTTTCTCCTAATCGCCTGCCACACTTTTTCCAAAACAAATCTGGGCCTTGTAGAGTACAACATCATCATCTATGGTATTTATTTATTTACCATATTTATTTATACCCTGCCTTTCTCTACCCCAGCATGGGGACTCAAGGCAGCTTACAATGGCACATACACAGTGCCTCAAAACAACAAATTCACCTAAAAATAGTTTAAAATCACAACATATTAGACATGATTAAAATACAGACAAAGTTAAAAACACACCATCCAGAATTCAAGGTCTAAGGCCATTCCAAGGTCAGATTGCACATAATTCTATATTCGGAATACTGTATTGCCCTAATTTTTGAAAGCCTACTGCCAGAGCCAGGTTTTGACTCTCTTCCTGAAGGCTAGTAGAGAGGGGGCTGATCTGATGTAGCTAGGGAGGGAGTTCCACAACTGAGGGGTCACCACTGAGAAGGCCTTGTCTCTCATCCCTGTCAGCCGTACTTGTGAGGCAGGCAGAATCGAGAGAAGGGCCTCTCCAGATGATCTTAGTCTCTATTTTGGTTCATAGGGGAATATACGTTCCAACAGGTAGCCTGGGCTGGAACTGTTTAGGGCTTTGATAGTAATATCATTGTAACACCATTGGTAGTAATATTAATGGTTTCATTTATTCACATGTGGCAAAATATGTCTTCTGTAGCCAATTTTCTAGGTTCTCCAGTGCAACGTGATGATATTCTTAGGCCATACTGTCACAATTATGAATACATAACATTTCCAGATTCATGACACTAGGTTACAAATCTATCACTGTGATATAGGATACTAGCCAGGAAACATACATATAGCTAACATCTGCAAATGAAGAAATGCTAAAACTACAGGGAGGAACTTTTTTTTCTCTAACCCACAAAAAAGAGTGATTTCTAGTGCTAGGAGATCAATTCAAAACAGGATGACATTGTCTCTCACAGCTCACTTAAAAGAAATTATGCCAGGATTTTTAAATAAAGTGTGGCAAGAGGTATAGCAGCGTTTCTCAACCTGGGGGTTGGGACTCCTGGGGGGGTGGTGGTGGTTATGAGGTGTTGTCAGAGGGGTCGCCAAAGACCATCAGAAAACACAGTATTTTCTGATGGTCACGGGGGTTCTGTGTGGGAAGTTTGGCCCAATTCTATCATTGGTGGGGTTCCGAATGTAGGAATTGTAGGTTAACTATAAATCCCAGCAACTACAACTCCCAAATGACAAAATCAATCCCAACCTCACCAGTGTTCAAATTTGGGCATATTGAGTATTAGGTCAATGCCCACCAAACCCTTCCAGTATTTTCTTTTGGACATGGGAGTTCTATGTGCCAAGTTTGCTTCAATCCCATCATAGGTGAAGTTCAGAATGCTCTTTGATTGTAGGTGAACTATAAATCCCAGCAACTACAACTCCCAAATGACAAAATCAATCCCCCCAACCCCACTAGTATTCAAATGTGGGCATATTGTGTATTTGTTCCAAATTTGGTCCAGTGAATGAAAATACATCCTGCATATCAGATATTTATATTACGCTTCATAACGATAGCAGCATTACAGTTATGACATAGCAACAAAAATATTTTTCATGGTTGAGGGTCACCACAACATGAGGGACAGTATTAAGGGGTCGTGGCATTAGGTGGGTTGAGAAACACTGAGGCAGAGGTTATTTTCAAGAAACAAGAAACAAGAAGGGGAAGAAAAGGGATCAGTGCATTATACCTCAAGTGAAATTCTGAGTGCTCAACCATAATCTGAACTTTAAAAGGAAGCATGGTGCGAGCTTTCTAACCTCATTAATTTTAAGACAAAGGGATAACAGCTATTGTAATGGCAAAAAAATTAAAAATAATGGCAGGAGGGAATCTAATTAGCTCATGTGTTCCTGGATAAGTAGAGAGCGACGAAACCATTCTCTGCAATTAAAAAAACAGCTTAGCAAATTGTTGCACTGCAAACAGAACTTTTATTTTGCTTAATTGCAACAGGATGCAGCATTGTCTTCACAAGCATCTACCCAGACAATCTTTGTACAGCTATTCAAATGCACGTTGTTAAGCAGAAGGGGGTGAAATGCAGTGTTCTGTAAATATCGATAGGGGCTGGTTGAAAATCAAGGATGCCTAATGTGCATTTAGGGCTCAGATCGCATACATTTTGAAGAGCTCCCCCATCACCCCCCTCAGGGATCAGAAAGGTAATTCAAGTGTGAAGTCAAAGACAATCACTTTCCTCTAAAGCAATGGGAAACACAAATACACATACACACACTTCTCCTTGTCTCCACTGACATTAGCAAATACTGAACTGTGTCAGAAGAACTAGCAATTCAACGACTAATAACCAGATGCCGATGATTTGGAGAGGCGGGGGAGAGGAGAGAAAACTCATCAGAAATAAAATGTGAAATGTCTGCATTTTTTCCTAATAGGTTGACATTTTTTTCAGTTTGTGAGAAAAATAACAGAACTCATTGGTGCTGCTGTCAGCCAAAAGAAAACAGATCTGTGATTCACCTCCTCCTTCATAACAAAATGTTGGGGGAGAGAAGAGACCCTCATTTAAGGAGAAAGGCCTTTTTATTTGCTGAAAAACAGAACAGACAAATGTATATGCCAACTTCTGAGAACTGAGCAGATTTCCATGTCTTGCACTCACGGCTGGATTGAAAGAGTTGAGATTTTGAATTTCAGTGTTATTGCAGGGAAGCTCTGGATCAGGTTATATGAAAAACCTTATACAAGATATGCTCCATTTGCTCCCTGAAGCTGCTCAGGAATACATTCCACAAATGACCTAGCAATCTAGGAGTGAAGTTGGGCTTTGTTGTGGTAGGGGGTGGTTCCTTTTGGCAAACCCAAGAGATTCACTTCACTCTCTGGTCCAATATTATATACTATTGGTAAAGCTCTGAAGAAGACGAAAGGCAATGGTAGCTACATGGAAATTCCTGGCTCATTACGGAAGTAGCATCCCTGCAATAGCACTGGATCAGGCAAAACAGTGCAGGAAGTCCCCGAAAGACCAGCATGAGGTCAGATGTTTGATGGGATGTGAAGAAACAAGAAGAACTTGAACCCCAGGAAAGAGGCAGGCAGATGTCACTGACTCCAAGCCTTCAAGGCCAAAAGGTATCCAAAATCTCTGGTTCTGGGTAAACAAAGGCAGTATGCCCAGAGGTTCAAATTAAGGGTAAGGGCTCACAGATTGCATTGCTTATTTGCAGGTTTGTTCTTTGTTGTATATCTTCTACAACAACTTCCTCAGCCAACAATTTTCCAGATGGTGATAGAAATGTAATAAGAACACTGTTTTATTTCCAGGAGGCATTTTATCCACAATTTCTGTGGCCAAAAGACTATGGTTTGTTTTAACACACACACACACTTACTTCTGTCCATGTCTACTTGCTATCTTTTCAGATTAACAGATTAGTACTGGAGGCAATTCCAATTGATCTCATGCATATTTTGAAGATTTTTTTTTGTTTCAATATTCATTCACTTTTCTGGAAAATAATAATTTATAGCAGTCACATACAAAATGTATTGTTAAAGCAGCTATTTTTCCCTTTGAAAGATATACATTTTTTTTGTGTGCACGATGAAATATATCGGTTGTTTGGTTTGATTCTGCCATTGAGTCAAGTGTGTTTAATCAGATTTTTCTGTGCACTTGAAATGTGCATATTCCCTCATTCTGGCTGCAACTGACCAGCAACATGAGGATCCCAGATTGTGAACTGTGCCTGATTTGCAAACAGTATCATGGGAAGACTGTCAAACCTCACACTGAAATCAGATTCCTTATCGATCTTAAGCAGGAATCTTGCATAGGAACAGGTTGTGGGTTTGGATTCACGGCTGGAGCTTGGCACAAAGTTTTAGATGGCAGCAGTGGCTTCACTACTCATGCGTGATACTCAGGCTAGCTCTTTACTCTCATTCCAGCATGTCAGGTGGGAATGTAGGACAGAGAATTGGTGTGATGATGGAAGTGGCAAGCAACACCTTCTGACTGGTGGTCCATAGGGAGTTTCCAACAGTTGCTCTGCCAGCCGCAATGCACACCCAGTTGCTTTTTATGTTAACCTGCTGCAAAAATATTCCCTGAAGCTGCATTTTTAAAAGCACTGCCTTAGTTCCTTCCTTCCCGGAACATATCAGCCAGACGTCCCTATGCACTGATGTCTGTGTGGGAAGCAGCCCTTTTCCTTTATGGCAAAGCGGCATTTGGTATGTTGCAAGCAAAAGAAGGAAGGAACCATGCTCGTACCAACCTGCCAGTGCTGTAGGTTGACTTATTTCTAAAACAGAAGACACAATGGGCACACAGGGAGAGGAGAGAAAACAGGAAAGGAAAAAATGTAGTTCATATTTTCAGACAGCTGAGTGAGTGAGTGAAGGAATGAAAGAACAAATGGAATTATTAGAAAGTTGACCTGCTTTACATAAACAGAGATCACAGCAATGATTATATGGATGTGACAGGAATGACAACATGTAACATTACTATAGGGGTTTATTAGTTAATAATTAACATAACCCACTGTCTTGACAATAGACTCTTAGAACAATGCCTTGGGTTTGCTAAGGCTCCATTGGCACACTGGTTGGCCTCTAACTTGCAAATGCATGAACTAACATGTCTTCGGCTAGCCATCAAACCCCAAATTATATCTTGAAACAAGCCCTGATAGAAGGGAAAGTGTAACAACAAAATACATTAAAAATAAAGCATTCATTTCAAACTGCTTAAGAACTCTGAAAATATGAGAACTTACCATACCCATCCTGTTTCCATTAAGACATTTTTCCTCCCCAGATCCAGTTTCCAGTAAGATGAAAAATGGAAAAGGTAAACATACCAATCCTTGCAAAATGAAAGTGTGTAATTTCCCCGCTAATTTTAATATGTAAGTCTCCTGACTTTGATCCATCATGAAGATTTCAATCTAAATAAAATTGTATGATGCACTGACCAAGTATTTGAACCCTTTGCTTCACTACAAACTATTTTAATTGTTGACGTCAAAGACTGTTTCAAGCTGCACTGACATGTTTCTTGGTCTAAAATGCTTAGTGCCAAGACTTATCTGCTTTTAGCCCAATGTGCCCATCATCACAAGCAAAAGTATATAGTGTGCAAACTCCACATAGTCAACTACCTATGTACCTACCATACAGGATTATACTGGCATTGGTGTTTCCCAGTTTGTTGATGGCCACACAAGTGTAGTTGCCATAATCTTTCTCTGACACATTGAAGAAGGTTAGTGTGGACATCCGACCTTTGTTCTCAATTCTCACTCCATCCAGCCCATTGGCTAATCTATAGGGAGGGTAAAAGAGGAATATATATTAATCCACATAGTCTGAAAGAGTATATAATTTCCTTATCACAGTTTTCTGAGCTAAAATATTGATTTTAAGGGGAAAGATAGCTTTTGAGAAATGACCAAATTTGAGCCAAATGTGGTCATTGACCGTATTTTCATTGGAGTGTTATACAGGGTGCAGCAGCATAACTTCCTTTTTTAAAATGCGTGCCATTCAGTCAGTTGAAGACGTAGTGGGGCGCTAGTGGTCTCGTTCGAGAGGCGGGAGTATAAAGTTTTGTCCTGACACAGTTCAGTCGCCATTGTGCGTTGGAACAGTGAGGAGCGTGCTTTTGCCATTGAGCCCTACTTTTCGAACAGGTGTTTTGTGATTGCAATCCAACGCGCCTTTCGGATTCGCTTTAATTTAGCCCCATTGGCCCCTGTCCCGGACCGGAAACCAATTGTGACATGGGTCACTACATTCAGACAAACTGCAAGTGCAACGCAAGGAAGAACTGGAGTCCCTCGGCCCATTAGATCACCTGAGAACATTGAGGCAGTGAGAGCTTCAATGTTGCGATCACCACAGTGTTCTGCACGCAAGCATGTGTCTGCCCTTGGACTTTCCAATCGTTCTGTGAGGAGAATTCTTTATGATGATCTTCATTTCATCCTTACAAGATGGCGATTGTGCAGGAACTTTCTGAACATGACTTCAATTCTCGGAGGAACGCATGTGAGGTTCTTCTCGAAGTCATTCCTGAGGATGCTATTGGTTTTTTTTAGTGATTAAGCCCTCTTTCATTTGTGTGGATCCATCAACAAACATAACATGTGCTACTGGGCTGACAATAATCCTTGCTAATTGCATCAAAGGCCTTTGCATTCACCTAAAATCACAGTGTGGTGTGCAATTTCCTCAGGTGGAATTATTGGTCCCTGGTTCTTTGAGGAAAATGAAGTCACAGTGACAATGAATTTGGACCGGTATGTAAAATGTTACAGGAATTTTTTCCCACGGCTAGATGGATTGGACTTAGGGGACATTTGGTTCCAACAAGACGGTGCAACTGCATACACTTCAAGAGCATCGATGGCTGTTTTGAGGGAACACTTCCCAGAGTGCCTCATCTCAATTAGGGGGGATTTGGAGTGGCCGGTCCGCTCTCAAGATTTGGCCCCTTGTGATTTTTTTCTATGGCTTTTTTTTAAATCCCATGTTTATGTGAACTGTCCAAGGACCTTGCAAGATTTGAAGACTGACATCCAGGAAGAAATTGCCAACATAATGCCTGCTATGCTGGCAAGAGTCATGACAAATGCCAGAAATCGGTTTACTCAGTGTATGGAGAATGGGGGACGTCACCTATCTAATTTGATCTTCAAAACTACGTAAAACAAAACTTTAGGTATGCACCTACAGTATATAATTTTCTGATTCATACAATGGGTTTTATTAAGTTTTTGAAAAAGGAAGTTATGCTGCTGCACCCTGTAGCTTGTCAAGACATTCTCTGCAGACATCCCCAATAGAAAGTGTTTACACAGAGGTAGGAGTTGTAATGGAGGGAGGAAAAGTTATGGGATGGAGATGGAGTAGATGGGAAGGGAGTGTCTCATGATTATAAACAGAACTATATTTTTATCTGAGCGTGATGCTATTGTAGGGTTTTATTTGGACTTCCAGACTGGACTTAAAGCCAGTGTGAAATTGCAACCTTCTGATATATTGAAGGCCTTTGCCTAGAGACAAAGCTATATCAGGGTGTATATGATTATTCAGTATTCTGTGTTCAATCTGTCATGCTTCAAGGAATTCTTATTATGTTGCATGCCCGCACAAGGGTTATGCTTGAAATTTAAAGGATTTTTAGGACTGTGCTGTGGTGGTTCAAGGTAACCCCTGCTAATCTGGTACATTTCTTGGCTCAAAGAAATCGCTCCATGCCAAGGATGTAAATCTGCCCTTCTCAAGCTAGGTTGGCAAACTCTAAAACCTGCTCACCTGGTTTCTTCTTTAAACCACTGAAATTCTGCTACGGGGACAGCAGAGGCTTCACAACGTAGGATCCCCTTCTGTCCAACTGAAACACCAGTGTTCCTGGGATTGGCGATGGATGGAGGGTCTGCGGAGGGAAGGAAGAACAGTCCAGACTTGTTCAGCAACCAATCAGGTTTCCATGCAAATGACAGAAAGGGATGGTCAATGTGACAACAAAACCAAATCACATGTCACCTAAGTCTGCATACTTTATATAACCCACTTTAGCCAGACCATGGAATGTTGTGTTAGTTTCAGTTATGTGTGTATGTTCATGGTTATGTATCAGAATCGGCAAACAAAGTGCAGTGATGGACCTAGAATTCTGGCTGACCCCCTGTTTGATATTTATCATGTCATAAACAAGACTTACAATCTTGATGAGGGCAGACAGATTGAAACTGAATCCAGACAAGACAGAGGTACTCCTGGTCAGTCACAAGGCTGAAGAGGGTTTAGGGTTACAGCCTGTACTTGACGGGGTAACACTCCCCCTGAAGACGCAGGTCCGCAGCTTGAAAGTGATGCTGGACTCATTGCTGAGCCTGGAACCCCAGGTCTCGGCAGTGGCCGGGAGAGCTTTTGCACAATTAAAACTTGTGTGCCAGCTGCACCCGTACCTTGGGAAATCTGGCTTGACCATGGTGGTTCATGCTCTTGTTACATCCTGAATAGACTACTGCAATGCACTCTAGTGGGGCTGCCTTTGAAGACTGCCCGGAAGCTTCAGCTACTCCAACGGTCGGCAGCCAGGTTGCTCACTGGAGTGGCAAACAGGGAGCATATAACTCCTTTGTTACTCCAACTCCACTGGTTGCCTATCAGCTTCTAAGTACAATTCAGAGTGCTGGTTTTAATCTTTAAAGCCCTAAACGGTTCTGGTCCAAACTACCTGTCCAAACATATCTCCTGTTACGAACCATCACTAAGTTTAAGATCTTCATGAGAGGCCCTGCTCTCAATCACACCACTGTCGCAAACGTGGTTGATGGGGAACGTGAGGCAGGGCCTTCTCAGCAGTGGCCCCCCACTTATGAAACTCTCTCCCCAGGGACATCAGGTTGGCCACCTCTCCCCTATTCTTTAGAAGAAAACTGAAAACTTGGCTTTGGGACCAGGCGTTGGATTAGTGGACAGCAGCAATTGGAATGAAAACTTGAATACTGCGACATTGGCTTAACTCCAGACTTGGATTTGGTTTAACTGGCATGACTAATTTACTGTTTTAATGAATTGTTTTAATGTTTTAATGTATTTGTTTATGATCTATATGATGATAGCATCGTTCGGTGCTTATGTGAGGCCGCCCTGAGTCCCCTCTTGTGGGGAGAAGGGTGGCGTAAAAGTGAAATACATAAATAAATAATACATTTTCCTATTTGCACATATAACTGTGGCACTATTGCCATGATCACAAATACTTCCCCCGCCCACCACCCAAAAAAAAATCCCTTTGAAGTCCTGTCACAATTGCTTATTACACCAGCACGAAGGGGGCAAATTCATCCTCCTTCAGTGTTACACCTTAGCAAGCGAGAGTCCAAAAGTGGCAGGCTCAAACCCAGAACCTCAACCAATGGCTGGTACCAAATGAGAGACTCCCCCCTGGGCACACAGAAGACTGGGTGACTTGGAAGGCACTGAACAGACTGTGCTCTGGCACCATGAGATGCAGAGCCAACCTTCAGAAATGGGGCTACAAAGTGGAATCCTCGACATGCGAGTGCGGAGAGGAGCAAACCACAGACCACCTGCTGCAATGCAACCTGAGCCCTGCCACATGCACAATGGAGGACCTTCTTATAGTAACACCAGAAGCACTCCAAGTGGCCAGATACTGGTCAAAGGACATTTAATCAACTACCAAACTCACAAATTTTGTATTTTGTCTGTTTGTTTGCTTTGTTCTGTTAGAAATGTAATATAATCGACTGGTTGCCCTGACACGATAAATAAATAAAAGTGTTACATTCATCAATGCCACAGATTTCTTTCAGTTGGTGCAGCTGCTTGGCTTTTAAGGTGGGATTCAGGTGGGTCAAACTGGGGTAGTGATTGTAGCCATGTCACTATAGCTCTATCTTTGGCCATATGGTATTCATGCTGAGCATTGATAGCTATTTTTAAGAGTGAATATAAATAATTCCCTCTCCAAAACACAAAACATGTTTGGAATTTGTACTCCATCTCTTCCCAAGAATGGTAATATATAGGGGAAATGTTATAACAAGCCAACAATAGGCTAATTTTGGGCTAGCCTACTCTAAACACTGCTTATTACTTGACTAGTATATTTAATTAAGGAGCCCCCAGTGGTGCAATGGGTTAAACCCTTGTGCCGGTAGGACTGCTGATTGACAGGACAACAGTTCAAATCTGGGGACAGTGGATTGAGCTCCCTCTGTCAGCTCCAGCTCCCCATGCAGGGAAATGAGAAGCCTCCCACAAGGATGGTAAAATATCAAACATCTGGGCGTTCACTGGGCAATGTCCTTGCAGTCGGCCAATTCTCCAGAAGTGACTTGCAGTTTCTCAAGTCACTCCTAACATGAAAATTTTAAAATTAATATTAATTAAATTAATTAAATTACTTAATATTAAATATAATATATTTAATTTATTTTGACTACTTTATCCAAAATGAGGGACTCACTAGTGTAAACCTAATCATAGTCTTTCAGTTAAGTCAGCCTTCTCCTTTTATACCTTTAAAAAATACTCCTCTAAAAAGCCAAGAGGCTTTTGGACATGTGCTTGTTTCAGGACTCAGAGTACCTGAACTTTCCAAGTTTTTAAAGAACAAATTGTCCAGAGAAGCAAATGCTTGAAGAATAAATGAAATGCATATGTGTGATTCTCTCAAATCAACTTAGCCGATTAATATAGAAGACTTCTGCATGCTTCACCTGAAAGCTAAGGATTTCTTAATGTGCTGTGTGCCAAGGTTAGCCATCAGAGAGATTCTCTCTCTCTCTCTCTCTCCAAAACAGAAATAATTACAAGCTCATGAGAGTGAAAAAAGAGAGAAGGAAGATGGAAAGGAGTTTATTATTTACACTCCATTTAAAAAAGAGCTCAATAAATTGTTGAAAAGTATCTTATTTGCTTTTTACTACTAACCATTATACACCCACCCACATATATCTTTTTACTACTAGCCATTATATACACACACACCCACATATATCTACATAATAATAAATATAAATATAATATCACACACACACACAATAATAAAGCTTAATCCTGAAAAATAGAGGTCCACCTGGCTAGTTGTGGGGCTGATTGGGGTATAGGGTGGTTACCTGTGCTCGATGGGGTCACACTCCCTCTGAGAACAGCCTCAAGCAAACTATTTTTACTCAAATTCTTTCTATAATATGCAGTAGTGGCCTGCTTTGCACAATTATTTTAAAAAATACTGCATGGTGAGTATGTTGAGGAACATTCTATAAATGCTCCCAAAGTCATTAATTGCATATGAAGAAGACGTATATGCATGGCATAGTACTTACAGTTTACAGTGACTTTTACTCTCCGGATGTCAGGTGCTGCAACGTCATTAACAGCGGCACATTCATACTCCCCCGACTGGTCTCTGGTGATCCCCGTGATTTCTAAATACTCGTCATCACTTATAAATCCCTGACCTAGAACAGAAGAAGAATGCATGCAATTACACACTCTGTTGCTTCAGTTAAGAATCATGTAGTTTCAGGCCAAACTCTTACTCTTATTGTTAAACAACGGTCTTTATTTCTTTGCTCACTGCAGACAAAAATATTCAATATTTCGTTGTGCATAATCTCCTTCCTCTTTGTACAAGCTCAGCTTGAGACATTAGTACAGACACTTACATGGCCAATCAACGAGCAGGAAATGCCATTTGTATTTTTTGGGGGGGGGGGGGTGGCGAACACTTGGGCTCCTAGACCAATTTTTCCAAATGAAGCACAAAGTGTTTGAGGACCAAAACCAAGGTTACAACAACATGTTATAGAACTCCAATATGTGATGACAACGTCATCTGTTCGCATTCAGAAGACCTACAAGATCTAAACACCTTCGCAGAAGCATATGAGAAACTCAGCCTGTTATTGAACATTGAGAAAACCAAAGTGCTCTTCCAGCAGTCACCAGCCAATCCCTCTCCAATGCCAGAAAGACAGTTTAATGGTGTAACATTACAAAATGTTGACCATTTTTGATACCTTGGCAGCCACCTCTCCACCAAAGTCAACATTGACACTGAAATACAACACRGCCTGAGCTCTGCGAGTGCAGCATTTTTCCCAATGTGCACAGAGTGTTTGAGGACCGGGGCATCTATAAGGATACCAAGGTGCTTGTCATAAAGCTATTGTCCCCCCCCCCCTCCCAACCCTGCTATATGCCTGCAAAACATGGACCATCTACAGACGTCACATGCAACTCCTGGAAAGATTCCATCAGCGTTGCCCCTAAAAAATCCTGCAAATCTCCTGGGATGATAGGCGGACAAATGTCAGCATGCTGGAAGAAGCAAAGACCATCAGCATTAAAGCAATGGTGCGCCAACATCAACTCTGCTGGACCGGCCATATTGTCCAGATGCCCAACCACCGTCTCCCAAAGCAGTTTCTCTACTCCGAGTTCAAGAATGGAAAACAGAATGTTGGAGGACAGGAAAAGAGATTTAAATATGGGCTCAAAGCCAACCTTAAAAACTCTGGCATATACACAGAGAACTGGGAAGCCCTGGCCCTAGAGAGCTCTAGCTGGAGGTCAGCTGTGACCAGCGGTGCTGTACAATTTGAAAGATGCACAAATGGAGGGCGAAAGAGAGAAACGTGCCAACCTAGGAAGTTTACAGAGATAGACTGGGTGGGACACAATGCTGGTGTGAACTTGAAGGTCTCCTAGCATTTTTCTGATCAATCTGTAAATGCATCTTTGCCCTCAATGGAAGTTCAAGTTCTCCCCTTTAATCAAAAGTAGCTGTGGTCTGTTGCACCTGGAAAAAAATAGTGGCCCATGCTATTACGGTTGGCCAAAAGGGCCAAAAGAGCTGAACCATCCAGAGCCTGTTTTGAAAAACGGATCTGTGCAGAGCTCTAGTATTTTGCTATTTTATTTTTCTCCCTCTGAGACATCAAAACATTTTTCAAGGCTAAAAAAATAAAGAAGAGTGACCTTAAGTTTCTATGCAGTTGGTTAAAACTATCTTAGCAAATTTCAAAGCTGACCCATAAATAAATCAAACACATAACACATTGAATTGTTTGTTGTATCAGCCATAGGCCATGCCATCACACAATATACAACCTTTAAAAGTACAATAAGCACTTTCTAATGTAAATATTAAAACTTATTTCATATACTGGCTCTTTAAGATTATAGTAGCAGCGACATGATAACATTAAGTTTCTATGCAGTTGGTTAAAACTATCTTCGCAGATTTCAGAGCTGGCCCACAAATTAATCAAACACACATGACATTGAGTACTCAGTCAATTTTAGACTGAGATCCTGTGTGTGTGTGTAGCTCTGTTTGTGCAGTTCCACATCCAGCTGTCAAGTCCCATGAGGGGCTCCTTCTGCTGCTGTTTACTAGTGGGAAAGCAATTCAGACCATGGAGAAATAAGCTTTTATAGCCCACCTTTCACCCAGCCTTGAGATTCAAGGATTACAAAAAAAATAAAGCAGACACAGCTGAAAGTGCACATCCCAGTGAAGTTGAAATGTAATTAAGCTATGAATAGACGTGAAAGCAATTTAAACATGCCCATTAAAGTAATAATAAAAATAATTAGAAAGCTAAATATAGAAAATACAACATATGACTAAAGGTCCTTCTGCTATGAGAAGCTAGTCTTCAAATGCATGCCAAAATAACAAAAAAGGCTTCACCAGCCTATTGAAGAACAGAAATGAGGAAGCCAGTGTGGCTAGAATCCTATTCGTGATGCATGTGTGTGCATGCTTGCATGTCTTCAAGGCACCTATCAACTTATGGTGACCCCATGGATTTCATAAGCATTTTCTTAGACCCATAATATGTAAGAGGTGGCTTTGCCAGTTCTTTCCTCTGAAACATAGAGTACAGCATGTGGTATGTCTTGATAGTTTCCCATTCTTGGACTAACCACCAGCCATACTGACAACTCTAAAGGTATAGCTCAATTTCTATCACAGACTGGCTGAATGGATGTACCTCAGAAAATATTTATGTTACTCTCTTGATCTGGATGTGAAGCAGGATCTAGAAAATATATGGAAATATCCCTATGGGTGTTGAACTGCATGCAGGATAGTCTAATTCCCCTTGTGCACTTAGAGTAACTGTATTGCACAAGGAGATACATGGTATCTCTATTTTGAGTGGTTCAGAAAGCACTTATATTGACATAGTTGGGGGTTATGGTCATAACTGTGTACATTCATTTCTGAGTTATGGAGACCCTGATTATTATTATTTTGTTGAAAGATTTGATTGGAGGTTGTATTGCCTTCACATGAGGGTGAGAAAGTATGACATGCCCGAGGTCACCCAGTGGGTTTCCATGGCTAAGCAGAGATTCAAACCTCATCTCCTAAAGTTATAGTCCAACACTCAAACTACTACACTGCAAGGGCTGGGGGTTATATTAATTTAAGTCAGTGTTTCTCAACTTGGGGGTCGGGACCCCTGAGGGGGTCGCAAGGGGGTGTCAGAGGGATCGCTAAAGACCATCAGAAAACACAGGATTTTCTGTTGGTCATAGGAGTTCTGTGTGGGAAGTTTGGCCCAATTCTGTTGTTGTTGGGATTCATAATGCTCTTTGATTATAGGTGAACTATAAATCCCAGCTAGTACAACTCCCAAATGTCAAGGTCTATTTTCCCCAAACCACCAGTGTTCACATTTGGGCATATTGAGTATTCATGCCAAGTTTGGTCCAGATCTATCATTATTTGCAGAGTGTTATCTGGATGTAGGTGAACTACAACTCCAAAACTCAAGGTCAATGCCCACCAAACCCTTCCAGTATTTTCTGTTGGTCATGGGAGTTCTGTGTGCCAAGTTTGGTTCAATTGGTGGAGTTCAGAATGCTCTTTGATTGTAGGTGAACTATAAATCCCAGCAACTATAACTCCCAAATGACAAAATCAATCCCCCTTTTAACCCCACTAGTATTCAAATGTGGGCATATTGGTTATTTGTGTCAAAATTGGTCCAGTGAATGAAAATACATCCTGGGTATCTGATATTTACATTACGATTAATAACAGTAGCAAAATTACCGTTATGAAGTAACAACGAAAATAATTTTATGGCTGGGGGTCGCCACAACATGAGGAACTGTATTAAGGGGTCACAGCATTAGGAAGGTTGAGAACCACTGTCCTAAAGTTATAGTCCAACACTCAAACTACTATACTGCAAGGCCTGGGGGTTATATTAATTTAAGTCATCAACAGGACTTGGGTCTTATCTCTCACAATTTCAAAAAGTAGCCCCATAGATAACACATTGCAGTCATTTAAATAAGAAATCATCAAACTTTGGATAAGTTCAGTGAGGCTATTGTGATTGAAAACATCCAAAAGAAACCATCACACACGTCTTTCCGGTCATTTTCATGTCATATTAACAGAATGACATGGGGTACGGCTGTTTAGAGGTATCAATCGGGCCTCTCAAGGAATCCTAGTGCTCATTTTTGTCTCTTGCAAATCATAAGTATTCTTCCTTATTCTAAGAATGCTAAATATTTTGAGGCAGTGAGGAAATGATTGCATTAACTGCAAAAGCCTTTTTCTGCTTTGAAGAAAAAAGCAGCAGGACGGAGATGATAAAACACCACGAATACAGGGCGAGAGGGGAACAGAGTCTGCATACACGACTGTAAAGATGGGGAAATAATAAGGAGAGGAAAAAATATGAAAAGGATGAACGCCAGGCTCACTTTGCTAGCGAACCTTCCTTGTAATGATCCAATAATCCTGAGGTCATTATGGGCCCGGCCTATCCTCCAGTTGATCTCTATAAAAGATAATTGGAAGTGTAAGAAAATAGATTCGACGAGCTGGAGACAGAAATACATAAATAACGGAGGTGATTTCTTTTCGGTGCCGAAGAGGCCTCAGGAAGAGATAAGCCTAGCTTGCTACATTAGTGAGATAAGGATCTACAGGGATACAAATGGACACTCTTGGAAGGAGGCTGCATGACAGACACAGCACCATCAATCATGGGAGGCTGGAATCATGTCAGCGCATGGATCAGCTGCAGCACCAGGGCAAGACAGTGTCATCTGAGCAGACAGCATTGCATCCGTTGGTTTCTCATGCACATTCTCAGTATCTCTCCTTCAGACTACAATTACTACAGTTTCCCATTTACTAAGAGGATGGCTTAGCTTTTTCAGATAAACACAGAGTCTAGAATGAAGTATCAGGTACTTAGTCATATATTTAATTAAATCACTTCTCCTGTTCGGACATCTTTCAAAGCTGATTGAAATGTTATTCAACCATTCTCTCACCAACAGAATGGAGCTTTTTCTTCCATTGCAGCTGAAGCCAAGTAATGTGGTCTTTGGGGTAGGGGTGTTACTATTATGGTAATGATATCAAAATTGTGACTAAGTACTTTTCATAAATATGGAAGTCACTTTGCCATGATTA